ACACAAATGTAATTATAAATATGTATTCGTATGTCATAATATTATATAATTTAATTACACGTTACGAGAAGGTACATAGTTTTTCCGTAATACCTCAGAATTCCGGTCAAGGCAACCTCCATTATTCATAGGCCTAATACATTTATACAATTATTATGGAGTAAATTACGTTTAGTGTATTTGGGAAATTACTCACACCAGTTGACCGACATACAAGAAGTAGTTTGTATTTAGCATGCAAAAGTAAATACGTGGTTTTTATTATGTCACAGCGCGCGAAATTATCTTCACCTTCTTTTTTTCTTCAATTATGGGGGTCAGACAATGGTCGTTTAAACATACAGCCTTTTAAAATTATATTTGATCAATAAAGACAATAAAAATGTTGCCAAATTGCCAATTGGACTCGGTTATATACAATATACATATATACTTATATAGCTTTTTGTTACACAATATTTTTGCCAATCCTCGATCTATACCAATTTTCGGTGTATTTTTAAGCGACTTATCCAAGAAATGTTCTCAATTTGCTTGGATTTTTTGTGTATGTGACGCGATATCTTTGCTAATTCTAATCCTATTTTGGTTATTCTTTTTGCAATTACACAGTTTTACCCCAATGTTGTTTTTATTTATTTTTATTATAATTATAGTTAGTGTTTTTAACAATTTTATTTATTTCATTAAATTCTTAACCCTTAAATACCTGAAGTTTCAAATTTGATACCGGGGTTTGCATTGTTTCATTGTTAAATAAATTTAAATATATTGATTACCGTAATGCCTAAAGTATCAAAAATGATATCAAATGTTTTTTCAAAATAAATAAATATATAAAAATATCGTTTTGATTTTTTTTTACTATTTTCCCCCATTAGTAAACACAGTAAAGGGTACACTTATATATATTTTTTATTTGATTTATCAAATCAGACTTTTAAGGGTTAATTCTATCTTCAAAAAGCTTGTAAATTTTCGTCTTTTATTTCAGTATTTAATCCACAACAGTGATTTCCAAAAATCTTCTATATCTTATCTCATAGCATATAATTACAGTTTAAACATCAAGTCATTTATATAATATTTATTTTGTCTACATAAATGTAAATAACAACGAAATGATGACATAATAGTGCTCTATATTATTCTCAATTTCGTGTATAATATAGTATATGTCATATATGTGTAAGTATATTTATTATTCATATATATTTATTCGTTTATATATGTAATTTTAGTATGTATGTATATCAATAATTACTAGTACCGCATTCGAGTATTCTGACACTTCCCTACGGTTGACTGGGAGAGAATGCTTTTAGCATTAAGTCCGCCATGTACACATATTCGTACTAATGAATAAATAAATAAATAAATAAATAAATAACTATAAAGTGTTACAATATGCTTTATACTATTTTTTAGTTGTCCAAGTGACTGAGATACGTTTGCTGGCTAATTTTGACATTATAATATTAGCAAGGATTATCTGGTCCGCACGATGTGTGTGTGTGTGTGTGTGTGTGTGTGTGTGTGTGTGTGTGTGTGTGTGTGTGTGTGTGTGTGTGTGTACTCCTCTGTACCCTGTAAATTAACTGCCACATCCCACCCTTCAAATCGAAACACAGCCATGCAAACACAACTGCTTCACGGTTGAAACACGAATGGGATTAATATATATTTAAATTTATCATCATCAACATATTAGCTCTTAATTATCCACTACTGAATATAGACCGTCCCATAGACTCCCATAAGGAACGGTCCTGAGTCACCTGCATCCTCCAACTGTCTGTAATGCGTTTGAGGTCGTCGCCCCATCTATAGATTGTATTTTATTAAAAAAAAAAACTGCGCGAAGCCGCGGCGGGACGCTACTGGGCGTTATTTTAAAATAAATTCCCTTGAGCAGGCCTCAGCCGGGGTCGACGCGCCACGGAAGGGCACCAATCCGGCGGATCTCAATAATTCCAACCAAATTATACGATTCGACAACGTAACTCGTTGCACGTATGCATTATTACCAGTACACGGCCGTGACCCGAGCCGGTAGGGTCGCGTTGTTTCGAAATAATAATGACAAAAGCACATTTTACAAGCTGGTACACATACATTCGTCGAATGCAGACGTAAAGGTCAACTTATTGCTATACTGTGATATATGCCGCACATAATTTGTGTGCTATTTTTAACCGATTGTTTTAATGTCATAATAATTATGAGGAATAATGTTTTAAAATTTTTTTTTATACAATTTAGAATGGCAAACAAGCTGACTATACTGTTTCGCCCATGATACCCCCCATGCGTTGCCATTCCTGAGGACTTAGTTATGCCTCTGTACCCAGTAAATTCACGCCATATCCCACCCTTCAAACCGAAACACAGCCATGCAAACACAACTGCTTCACGGTAGAAACACGAATAGGACAGAGGTACCCAAGCATACGACTTTTGTACAAAGTCCCTTAAATGTAATTTAAGTCCATTATTATTAGATATATGCAATTTTGTAAAAAAAATTATTTAGGTATATGTGTGGTTTTATATTTTTAAATGCTTAAAAAAAGAAAAAAAATGAGCACACGTGTCGCTTTCTATAGACGACCTCGGGGCGGCCTTGTCGGCGTTCAGTACCGTCGCCGTTATCTAACATTTTGTATATTAGTAAAAAGTTTCTTGCTTTATACAATACTAGCTTTTAATCGTGACTTCTTACGCGTGACCGGAATATTTTTTTAATTATAACATAAATGGCAAACGAGCGTTCGGCTCGCCTGATGATTAGCGACTACCGCCACCCATAGGCAACGCATCTTCTAAAAAATTGCCTGCCTTTTAAGAAGGAGTACTCTTATGCTCTTTCCTAGAAGGATATGCTCACTGACTGAAATAAAAAACCTGTATCCTTCTCTTTTCCGTGTAATATGTGTATATTAAATTTCATAGTGAATGTGTCTGATAAAATTATTTGTTTCGTTAAGATTCTACGTGGTAACAAACAAACTTACTTTCAGATTTACTAATATTAGTAAAGTTGTGTTATTACCTTTAAAGTAACGTGTGATTTACCTTGATCTATTTAGTATATTAATGTATTTATATTTATATATTATTATTTATATTATATATGTATGTTTATGTATTGTAATCTTATTTTTATATTTACAATATTTTGCCTTTTGTTTGATTCCTTCTATTTATTTACTGTGTCTGACTGGCGCCATCTACCTTTCTCTCTGTACTTATCCATTCTTTATGCCAGGTTGTCTGTAAGAAATTGCTTTTAGCGATAAGACCGTCTTTTGTATATGCATATTCTGTATAAATACTCCTTGTATACATCTTGTATTCACCAGAGGGAGACTTTGTACAAAAGTCGATTGCTTGGGTACCTCTGTCCCATTCGCGTTTCAACTGTGAAGCAGTTGTGTTTGCATGGCTGTGTTTCGGTTTGAAGGGTGGGATATGGCGTGAATTTACTAGGTACAGAGGAATAACATCGGAGTCCTCAGGAATGGCAACGCATGGGGGGTATCATGAGCGAAACAGTATACTCTGTTATGTGCATGATACCGCTCATGTCTATAGGCGATTACCACTTTCCATCAGGTGGGCAGTCAGCTTGTTTGCCATTCTAAGTTGTATAAAAAAAAAAGGCGATAGACAGAAAGATAGCTTAGTACTCGTATTTTATATTAACATATTAGGTTATAATATTATAAATTCCGTAGGGATATCTTATTTTTTTTTTTTTTTGAAAATAATATACAGCATATGTTGCATGCTGACAATTTAGCTTTCTATAAATGAAAGATTTTTTAACATCAGTTTAATAAATCTTTTCCTTTATTTATTACAACACACACAAATACGAAAAATGGAATCTTTTCCCTTTGCAATATTAATTAGTATATTTTTTCCTTATAATTCAATAAAAAAAAAAATATGTAAAAATTTCAATACTTAATGTATCTACCCATGCAGCGCGTTGATGTCTTTTGTATTGACTACTAGCGGACCCTACGAATGTTGTTCAGTAGAACATAAAACTATAATAATAATATTAGTTAAGAAACTACAGTTACGAATAAATCTCATTTCATTTCATCTGTAAAGCCTAACTGTGGTTGCTAATCTGCCTGCCAAGCGTGGCAACTACTAGCAAAACCCCTCTCCCAACGGGTAGGCTTATATACAATTTTATTTTGGGGGAAAGGGATTGTTAGTAATAGAGACTGAGAATCCCATTGCTAGTAATATACCCAACCAGGTCGACCTCCTCGCGGTTCTCCCTGGAAACTATAATAGTTAATTCCTTCTACGAAGGTTACGATCATGAGTTTCAAAAAGGTACTGGAATTTACTGTTTAAGTAGTTAGGAGACTGGGGTTTTCGAAGAAGAAGTGTAGAGGGTACAAAGAGTCCTAACGTTTCTACGTCGACGAATGGGAAGCCATTTGAACTGAGACCGATAGCATTTAATTGTCAATTTTAAACTAAATAACAAAACTCACTAACCGTTAATAGGTTTTATTTTTTACGGAATATTTTTTATTTTTTTTAATTAAATAAAAAATAAAATAATGTATAACACTTATAATAAATATACCATCACCACCGTCATCATCATCATCATGATATCAGCCGCTAACTGTCCACTAATCAACATGGGCCTTCCTCATAAGGGGGATTTTGCCAGTAAACGCCCGCTTGTTAGCAGGTGAGTTGGCAACTGCTGGTAGGCTTTGCTGATGTTTTAAAAGGGATACTGGTTTCCATCCCTCATAGATACTCGTACATTATATGTATTGGTATTTAGTACACAGGTGTATATAAAGGGGGAGCCAGATAAGCCATGCCCATTCCAGGATCCCTCCCCTCGTCTCTTCACCCTGGAAAATAGTCCTAAATGCACCAATGAATAACTAATATATTCAAACGAATGTAATACTGTTGAAATATAAATAAATAAACAAATATACCGTTCGTTGCAGAGAGCAGCGGCTCGCAGATCTTCAGCGAGTGGCGGCAGGACGTGTCCATGTCGGGCTCGAGTCCGCCCTTCGAGACCGGCTTCTACGTCACGCGGCTCACCGTCACCACCGACCTGCCGCAAGTGGTCAAGACTGTGAGTATACACACATACACACACACACACACACACGCGCGCACACACACGCACACAAGCACGCACGCACACAAGCACGCACGCACACGCACGCACGCACATTACACACACACCCGCACGCACATACAAATACACACACACACACACACACACACACATGCACATACACACGATATAAAGGCAAAGTGAATTAAACGCCATTTAGTGAAGTGAGTAAAACAATTTAAAATAAAGTAAATTAAACTCACTCTCACATTATATAGAACTAGCTATGTCCTGCGTTTTTACCCGCCGAGTGTAACGTCAATGTAAATAAATACAATACAGTATGACTCAGGATAGTTATTATTTAGCAAAAAAATTTAACAAAAAAGTTTCTGGAAATGCCAGTCAAGTAATTCCAGAGATTAGTACTTTAAAACAAACACTTCCTATTTATTATATTTTTGATTAAGTCATCACGATGGGCCATCTGACATATTTCATCTTCACCTATCATCTCTCACTGGTGCCCCGCCAGCGTATCCCTGTGACGGTTCGCCTATAGTACAATAGGTTTAATACCATATAAGTACATAGAAAAGAAACAGGGGTTCCTATGGGTGACCGCTGCGAAAGCTGAGCTATTTAATATAAACAAACTTTAAAGTCAAGGTTCACAATAGCGTACAGAGAAGACGTTACCATATATGAAATATTGACATAGAAGGGAAACTTCTTTGATGTGTTTCCAAAGTGTAGTGGATGTCACAAGAAAATTAAATAAATTAAACAAAAATATATTATATTTTATATATAACCAAATTATAGTTTACCTTTTTATCATCAGGTGTAAAAAAGATACATACAACACAGTTTAATAAGGTTTATGAGAGTCTTTAAAGTTTTATAAATTCGATAATCAATTTAATATAAAATACCAAAATACGTTAACATATAATTAAATTGAATCTAAAGAAAAGTTCAGTTCGAATAATAGGCTAAATCTGATTATTGAAATATCTACCCTTCGGTGACATAATCTATGACGTTATTAGAGAAAGAATAAAAAAAAAAAAAGAGGAGGAGAGACGGCAGATCGGCGGGCGCGCGGGAGTCGCTTTTTAGGAATTGCGCAAGAAAAGAAAAAAAAAAAAAAGGACGGAAAATGGCGCGGGAGTCGTGTTTTAGGGATTGCGCAATAAAATAAAAAAATAACTGGGATAGAGAGCTAGGAGTGACTGGATCTATGAAGGGGTTTAAGATCTTAGTGTATCACTATCGATTAAGTGTGTGAAAAGAGTCAATGGAAGACTGGAGAATCCGGTGAGCTTGTTCCATTTATTACTACGTAGTTAGATTTTTGACTGTGATCACAGGCAAAGTTTATACTTAATATTTTTCCCAACAACTATTAAAATACGTATTTAATCGAGTCCATATACCTTTAGGTAATGCGTATATCGTTAAATGCAATCACATTTGAACAAAGATCTACATCAATATAATTTACGTAATAATAATACATACTTACGTTATTCTACTCATATACAAAATTCAATTATATAGCTGTTTGATAGAAATTCATCGATTTGACTCAATATTCTAATTGTCCAGTTTTGGCAAATACTTATTGAATCAACTATTAAACTATTATAATACTAACTAAATTCATATCTAGTTACTATAAATTATTTATTTATTGAGGATAAATAGACTGAGGTGGCTGTGGTCTGGTCTCATTGCTGGGGAAACAACCATTGATGAGACAGAGGGGTTATTGAGTGGCGACTCTGTATATGCAAGTGTGGTGAGGGCTGCCTCCATTGGTTGGAGTGACTGTTTTATGTGTATTATGGGGACTCGGTGGGTGCAGGAGTTTGGGGCCGTTCCTAGTGGCAGTCTATGGGGAATTGCCTGTGTTCAGTCGTGGATTGGTGATGGTTGAGACGATGATGATGATGGAATAGTTGTATTTATTACACTATTACAGTGTTGATTTGGAACACCTGCTCATGCTTAACGTCTCATGGTAAAGTGTTTTCATACCATTGCTCGGTCAACTGTACTAATGATTCTTTTGTATACTTTTAATTACCCATGATTACATGTGGGAATTTGTTTTACACCAGATGTACAGAGAAACAGCTTAGCTGTTGCAGGTGATTTTATGTGAATGTATTACTTTTAATACATTAATGTGTTAGTAGATAAATTCATGTAACGGTGGGATGTTTATGGTAAACAAGCCTGTATTGTTTAAATAGATATTTTGTCTTGATTTATTATAAACTTTAATATTGATTTTGTTGTAGTAAACAAGCTGATAATAACAATTCTGTGTGTATTACTGATTACTAATAATATTTAATTATGCTGATATTATAGGTGTGGATTTATTTCCTAATGGTAATAAAAGTACTAAAAGATTCTCTGACTATAGTTACTCTTAACTAGGTATGAGGTTCAGTATAAAATTGGTACTGTATGATACTTGTGAAGCTATGTATTTTACTCATATTTAGAAAGGAAGTTGTCCCGGCGATAAGGTTTGTATGTGTGTTGTTTGTTCATGTTATATTGACTAGACAAGTTCAGACAGGGTTAATATTAGTGAATATTTACTGGATTTATATTTAATATACATGTTTGGAATATTTTATGGGAATAGTATGGAGATATACAAGTAGTAAAATATAATATTAGTATTTTATAAATTTAATTATTGAGTTATATGTTTATGTCGGACTGTATCCAAGGAGATATTATCCTATTGATATCAAGTTAGGACAATTACTTTAAATATTAATAAAGCAAACACTAACACTGATTATTCACTTCTTTAATAAATTTACATTAGAGGTTAGGAATCAAATAGATAGCATATTGGGAAAATCTTCACCACACATGTATTTGAGGAATGTTCTTGATAATTAGTACTGTATGTATATATTATTGCAAGTACAATTGCAATAAGAATGTTAAACTTCTAATCTTCTGTTCATTCTTGAATTTGAAAGTAAGCTTGACTACTGATATGAATATAAAACTGCAGCATTGCTGGATACTGTTAATTATTTCTGGTGTGAACCATGATTGTTTATGTCACTGATAATTTAGTTGTATATTACGGTTGATATATGATGATTTTATATTTAATTATATTAAACAAATACAAATAAACAAACTTGCTAGTATTTGTTACGTTGACAGTTGTGATAGATAATCAAAATTCAATTCAATACATCAATACGTCATTCAATACGTCATTAATGTGACAGATGTCAAACAAAAGGAGATTATACACGTTATGATTCTATATCTAAGTCTATAGAAAATTTATATAATTTTTTGTTATTTTATAATAACTGTAGGGGAAATATTGGAATTATTTATATGAGAAATTTCACTTAAATGATATGATAATTATTTAAAGACCTAATTTCTTAGGGATTTAATCATGATGATTTAAACACTAAAACACTTGTTTATCTGAGAAATCCTCTTAGTAAATAGGTTTATTAAGACACTAAAAGGAAGTAGATATAGTATAACTATAGTACAGCTACAATAATTGTATGGGACTCACTGTCCTTTCTATACAAATATATATTTAATCTATATCTTTCACATTATAATTATGCAATATATTGCCTCTACTACTACAACATACACAAATAGGACTTATTGTCCTTCCTATAAACCTATATATAATAATTGACCTGGCACTTTAATGTGTAATTTATCAGTACATATGACAACAACCAATTAGGACTTATAGTCCTCTCTATAAAGCTACATAATTATTTAATCTGATTATTTCACAATGTGATTAATCAAACCTCTACAAATATTACAAAAGATTTCTATTACTCTCAACACAATAATAGCTTGTTGGACTTAGTGTCCTCAAACTTATAGAAAACCCAACTGGTTATTTCACGAGACGTTGTTAACTTGTGATTAATCAGTGTCTTTTAAAGGACTTATAGTTCCTTTAGATATATCTCTCTGAATAAATAATTGGTTAATTCACAATGTGGTTAATCAACAATAATATTATATATAATTGACTGGACTTATAGTTCATTCAATAGCACTCATTACTTTTAGTAGCTCTCGACCTATGGGTTGGACTACTCGTTCTTAGGCTCCGGCCTAATCAACAGATTTAACTTGAACCTTGAGTATTCTTGGTATTAAGTAAATAATATTAAATTGACAATGCTATGTTATGATATAGCAATTATCAACATTATATGGCTTGGCCAATTCCAGGGTGTGGAAGGTATCCCCTATCACACAAATCTTCATCTCTATCGGACTGTCTTCACAGGTGATCTCTAATGTCACATTATAGGGCCGAAGGGTTATGTCCCAACAAAGTAAGTTCTGGTGTCTGGGTGATCTCGCTTCTTGGTCTGATCTCTTGTGGAGCCGAAGGGAAACCCCCATTGAGTAAGCTCGTAACAGGGTGACGCTGGGAAACAGTTTCGTACTGTTAGTGGGTGATCTCTATGTCGCCATATAGGACTGAAAGGGTCATCGCCCATGAGTAAGCTCTCGTGTCGGAGTGATCCTGGGATTTCAGTTCCGATCCTTTTGCCTCTGGCAAACACCAATTTATACTGGAAGCATCGTGGGGCTGGTGGAGCCACTGTAATGTTGAAGTAAATGTACTTATGTTTGGTTTGGAACTGAGAATACTCATTCCCTTATTACCATCAGAGTGCATTAATAAATAGTAATACCCTTCCCTACCTTTTTGGAGGAAGAGTTATAGATAGTTGGAAAGTCTTCCACTGGTCCGGGCGTGTGAGGGGCCCGACCGCTCCCCCATTTTTTTATTATTACAGTTATTCTGTAATTTACTATTAAATTAATATATTATATTCTAACTTCCTAGTTACATGAATTATGAGTATAATTCATTAATTATTCTTAATCCTTAAATATTTATCAATTATCTTCATTATTTAACTCCTATCATATACCAATTAAAGAACCTTTTGGTTATTACA